CAAGGAGGGTGAAACGGGATATTAATGCACGATCTGGCAACCCTGTCGCACCCTCACAAAATGGCCGCTGATAACCACACAGTCACCGTGTTGTCACTGAATAGCATGGAATTAAACCTTCAGAGTATATGTTTTGTGACTGGTACCAAGAGTTGACAGATCCCACACATGTGTCACTCCTTGAAATGCAATAACCAGCTGTATTCAAATAATGTCTAATATAAATATAACCTAGAATGTGTACTCGTGAAAAAAGAAAAATATGGCAAATTTGTAGTTTTTTTTGCAGGTTTTAGGTTTGCTGGTAGCTTTAAGGCATTATTTGGGAATTTCTTAATCGCTGTGAATATAGTGAGGATGTTTGTTCAGTTCCTGAACAACGAAAAATATTCATCTTTATGGATGTACGCATATCAAAAAACCTGAATGGTGCCATAATGGTTCTGATGAACGGCAAGTAAATGAATGAATGTTTGGAAACGAGCAATAGCTTTTGGTAGAGCCTGTCATCAAGTAGGTGCTTAAGGGCTATAGGTTTATAGGAAAAAATACCCAGTATCACATATCAATTGAAAAAAATAATATAAACATGAATAAAAAATCAACAATAGTAATTAAAACATGAATTTAATTCAAAATCAAACATTTCTTAAAATTTTGACTGAATTATATGAAAATTCTTAATATTCAATAAGCTCGTGATGTTTCAAAGGCAAGTTGTCATCTCATACTTTGACAGTATTTTGTTTTCAACATCTTATAGCTATAGGTTGCTAAAATTTGTTGATCGCTGTGTCTGACGGTCTGTTACCCTATAGGTGGAGAATAACGGACTGTTGTTGGTGAAATTGGCCCTTAGTGAGGCAAAAATTAAAAAGGCCATATTTGTGGGACCACAAATCCAGAAAATCTTGAAGGATGATGTATTTGACAGTGCTCTAAATAAAACTGAATTACGAGCTTGGAATGCTTTTTAATCAGTTACTGCAAATTTTTAGGCAATGTGAAGGTGGACAATTATAAAGATATTGTGAATGAACTAATTAATGCTTATAAAGGAATGGGATGTCTTATGTCTCTAAAAATTCACTTTTTGGATTCTTACATCGATTTTTTTCGGAAAATTTAGGTGCGGTAAGTGATGAACATGGTGAACGGTTCCATCAAGATATTTCTGCTATGGAAAAACGGTATCAAGGCAAATGGAGTGTGAATTTGCTTGCTGATTATTTGCTGGACATTGTTAAGAGGTACTTCAAGAGCAACATATCGCCCTAAAACATCGACAAGAACATTCTGAGATTAATGTTTATTCGAGTGTTTATTAGTACTCTTACACACATATCCTCATATTTTACGAGTATAAGTAGCAAATAAAATGCCTTATTGCAAGCCCCGTCCCAGTTCCGAGCTAGCAGCCGTTGCGAGTGTATACTTGCACGACTGCGACCCACCCGGACATATTGAGCAATCTTATTGCAATTTTCATTGCGATAGATTGGTTGTTTGCCATCTACGATGGCAAAAATTGAGAAGCTGGTTAACCAGCTGAAAGAAAAGAAGGATGCTTTCGCCATGCTGGAAGAGCAGATGCGAAACCTGCAAGAAGCCTTCTTGCAGGCCAGACAGGAGATCGAGGACCTGAGCGGGAAGCTCCGCAGGGCCAAGAAGAAGGCCGCGAAGAAGACAGGAGAAGAAGGAAGAGGACCACCAGGCTACGTCGGACGAGATGGACGCCCAAGAAGAGCACTCAACGAAACGAAGGAATAGAAGAAGAAGCCGAGAAGAGGACGGACGACACCGATTTCAGTGTCGCCACCAGACGGAGGAAGCGGGTGCGAGTTTCCTCCTCCGAAGAGAGAACCCAGGCAGCCAAAGATGCCAGCTGCCACCAAGAAGAGTCCTAGAGCACCAGGACCCGGCCCCCATGGCAGGAACAGGAGTTCCGCCAATCAACATCGAGGGCACCGCTGATTGGTCATCCTTGAGTAGGATGATGAACAGCAAGGGGATTCAATTCTCCAAAGCGAGGACGGCGGGTACCAGTGTGAAGGTATTCACAAATACACCAGCTGACTACCGTCAGCTAGTCGCACTGCTGGAATCCATCAAGCGGCCCTTCTTCACATATCAACTGAAGGAGGACAGGATGGACCAGAGGGTCATTCGTGGGCTCCGAGAGATGTCAGTCAATGACATCAAAGAGGATCTAGTGAGCCAAGGCATCGCAGACGCCGGTTCAGCAGCTGACCTCAAGGACCACAAAGAAGCCACTTCCGCTCTTCCTCGTCAAGACGAAGATGCCGGAAAAGCTTGCAGAGATCCAGAGGCTGGCCATGCTCACGGTCAGCTTCGAGAGGAAGAAAAAGTCTTCCGAGCCCAGCCATGTTACCGCTGCCAGCGGTACGGGCACACACAGCGGAACTGCCGTCTCGCTGAACGGTGCGTTAAGTGTGGAGAGGACCACAACAGCACCAGCTGCAGTCTGCCAGCGCCGCCAACAGGGCAACGAAACGCCAAGTGTTGCCTCTGTGGAGAAGGCCACCCCGCCAACTACAAGGGATGTAGTAAGGCGCCGAAGAAAGCTGCTTCTGCCCCCAAAGCAGTCCCCACCACAAATAGGACTTCTTACGCCAAAAAGTGAAGAAGCCTATGTCCACTTCTGCCCCAGCAGCCGCCACTGCTACTGGAACTACTGCGCAGAAGCAACACGGCGATGACAGACTGCTAGCAATGATGCAAGCCATCATAACCCGCCTGGATGCACTCGAGGCCAAGATGCAAGACAAGCACTAGACCCGAAATGTCTACAGGTCAAAACGTAGAATCTCTACGCATTATCTCCTGGAACATCAACGGATTCAGGGCACGGAAACCAGAAATCCAGGAGATACTAGACCAGTACCAACCAGAGGTGATGGCCATCCAAGAAACGAAGTTGGATGCTGCCCATAGTCTGACGTTCCCGCGGTACGAGACGTACCGCTACGACAGAAGGGGCAGAGGTGGAGGAGTCGCATTACTCGTCAAACGTACCTTGACGAGTCATGTCCTCGACGATGCCGCAGACATAAATGGGGACGGAATCACGGTCCAGGTCCATCACAACCACCGTCCCTACAGAATCACCTCCCTATATGTGCCACCAGGGGAGGCCCTAGACGAAGATGACATCGCTGACCTCCTGAGAGGCCCAGGAGCACGCATAGTCATCGGAGATCTAAACTGCAAGTCTCCGGCTTGGAACAACAACGTCGAAGACAGGAATGCAAGGCAGCTCCAGGAACACGTCGATGCCCTGGCGGGGGTCATCGTCGGTCCGGAGCAACCAACCTACATTCCATTCGGCCTTGGGCGACCTGCGGTACTGGACATAGCCATCCTCCGCAACATCAGAGAGGAGTTCGAGATAGAGACCCTGGTGGAAGGATCGTCGGACCACAATCCGATTCTACTAACACTTGGCACAGGGTCTAGAACTCGAGATAGCTTGAGCACCAAACGGACGAACTGGAACCTTACAAATCCAACGTCCAAGGAACATCACTCAAATTCCAACCATCCGATCAGCGGAGGAACTGGACAACGCAGTAGAGGAGCTGGAGAATGCTGTCCTGCGAGCGCACGAGGACAGCACCCGCTCCGAGACTACGGCAGTTCCTAGACACCTAAATGGTCCAGCACCGCACCATATTAGGCACCTGATCAGGGAGAACAGAAGACTCAAGCGAGAACATCTCCAGCTGTTGACAGAGGAGTCGAGAGTTGCGCGAAACAGAGCATCGTTAGCTCTGAAGAACGCACTCGCGGAACTCCAAAACAACAGATGGAATGCAGCCTGTGCAGAACTAGAGACCCAGGATGGTACGGCCTGGTCTATGCAGCGAAAATTTCGTCGTCAGCGCACCACGATCCCCACTCTTCACGGCCAACGCGGCTTGGCCTACTCCAGTGAAGAAAAAGCCGAAGCATTCGCCGATTCGCTAGAATCCGAATGCAGACTCAATTACCATGAAGACGAGGACGACAACCACGAGGAGGCCGTGGAAGTCGCAGCCGAAAACATGAGGAGTCGACCACCTGGCCAGGAGACGGATCACCCCTCCAGTCCAGAGGAAATCCGTCTGATCATCCGCAGGTTGAAGGTCAGAAAGGCGCCGGGAAGGGACGGCATCAACAATAGGATGCTGAAGAACCTTCCCACCAAAGGCATTGCTGCGCTCACCAACATCGCCAATGCCACTCTGAGACTTAACCACTTCCCGCGGCGGTGGCGGGAAGCCCAGGTTATAATGCTCACCAAGCCAGGCAAGGACCGGAAGTTGCCCCAGAACTACCGGCCCATCAGCCTGGTTTCCTCGGTGGGCAAAGTAGTCGAAAAGGCTATCGCCGTTCGACTAGAGAAGCAGGCAGAAGAACTGCAACTTCTCCCCCCAGAGCAATTCGGCTTCAGATCCTCCCACAACACGGAACTCCAAGCGCTACGACTGACGGAAAACATCACCAGCGGCTTCAATCTCCAGGAGGCAACCGGTCTCGTCCTGCTGGACGTGGAACGAGCCTTCGACCGAGTTTGGCACGATGGACTCATCGCCAAAATGGAAGCCGCCGGAATCGATGCGAACATGTGCCAACTGATCCAGAGCTATCTAACACAAAGATGGTTCACGGTGAAGATTGGTACATGCCATTCAACAAGACGTCAGCTGGAAGCAGGCGTGCCCCAGGGGTCAGCCTTAGCCCCCCTGCTCTACAACATCTATACTTACGATGTGCCGAAGACAGCTGACACAATGCTGGCCCTATATGCAGACGACACTGCTATAGCCGCCAAGCATAGACGACCCGAGATCATCCGTAGGAGACTACAGGGTGAACTGGACCAAATTCAGGACTGGTGCGTGAAATGGAAAATCCGCATCAACGTCCAGAAGACGCAGGCAATCTTCATTCAACGAAGAAGGATTGCAAGACCTCTCGAAGCATCCATCTTCGATGAAGATATCCAGTGGAGCGACAATGTCAAATATCTGGGGATCGTTTTTGACAAGTCCCTCACCTGGAAAGCGCACATAGAAGCTGTCATCGCAAAAACCAGAGCAGCCATGGCTCAACTCTATCCATTACTGGGTAGACACAGCCAGATGCCGCTAGCGACCAAGCTACGGCTGATCAAGGCCATCGCCAGACCTCAGCTCGCTTACGCCTCCGCGGTCTGGGGGTACGCTGCCCCCAGCTACCGCAAGCGACTTGCTGCTCTAGAGATGAAGCTACTCCGGATCGCCACCAATGCCTACGTAAGGAACTCAACCTTGCGTAGAGACCTGCATTGGGATACCATCCACGAGTACATGAGGAAAAAAGCGGAGAAGACCTTCGAGAAAGCTCAGGACCACCCGAACGAGCAGCTACGATTCCTCATGGACTACGATCCGGACGAGAGGCCTCGCAACCGCAGAACCAGGTACCCCAGACCAAGGTCCCAGTTGGCACCCGCTAACTGGAACCTTGACTAGGAGACTAGGAGAATTTGCGGCTGCTCCCCCCCCCCCGGCGTGGATGCAGAGGACCAGGAACCACCGGGACCAGGACCAACCAGGACCAGGACCCGCCACGACCAGGACCCACCAGGACCAGGACCCTTCAGGACCAGGACCAGGAACAACATATTGGTAAGAGGACTTGAAACTCTTGATTTTTCGAAAACAAGAGTTTCAAGAGAAACTAGCAGACCCTCTATCGATGATCGCTTAACGACATCGATAGAATGTGCGAGGTAAAGGGAACCAACCCGGCGTTCCCAGAGACTGAAACACATGAGGAGACGTTGTAGCAGACCGCAGGTCACGCACAACACATGGCCTACCGAGACGCTGATGAGTCGGGCCACGCGGAGGTTTAGGGTTTAGTGGGTATTAGGTGATCTCTTCAAGACCCTGGAGCCCACACACGTCGTAGCTCGTGCTATGGTATGGTGCGTAAATGCATTCCCCCCTCGTTAAAAAAAAAAAAAAAAAATTTGCAAGAAAACCGTGGGTGATAGAAAAAATCGGTTTTACATAATAACCACCTTGTTTTGTCCATGTCACAAAAAATTATTTTAATTTTGTTCATCAATGTAATTTCCATATAAGAAGTGCTCCATCCAAGATTTTTTTGCAGAGTTACATATTACGTAGTCATGTACACGTTAAGCCTGCAATAACCCCTAAATACGTGGTTATGTTGAATGTACCACCACCGCCCAAGATACGAGTATACGCTTAGCGAGTCCGCAGATATGCATCTCATTTTGCGGGGAAACTGCCTTAGGTGTACCATCATTCCTTTGTTTGAGTAAGGTCATTCTGTGGAGTCCGTCCCTGTGTCACATCCATCACGAGAAGATCCTGCGTTGGGATTCCTGCTGCTGGAGCGACGCAACGACGCAGCGACGACGCGCCGTGACGCGCAATAATTCGGCAGGCGGGTGGAACCGCGAATGCTTTTGCTACTCCTGCCAGAACAGAGATATCAGAGCTGATCAGACCTCGCGGGTAACACCAGCTGCTAACATACTCTGAGTTCGCGTTGCTCTCGTATCGACACTCTGTGTGATCTAGCTACTCACGCAGCAGCAGTAACAGGTGGACGCATCGCTCTAGATACAGTGCACACTAGTCAGCCTGAGCTGCCGCAGGAAGAACGCGCAACAGGAGCTACAGCTACTACGGATACTACTTGTTGAGCTTCCGGCGCGGCAGATAAAGAGTAAGTGCAGCATGACAAAAGTTATGTGGCGATGCATGATTTCCGAGCAATGTTAAGAAAGCTTTAGCGAAAATAAGGAAAATTATGTCCAATAATGAGGCTCCTTTCAGCACCCAAGCAATATGTCGAATCCAAAGATCCATTGTCTTCAACATCAATACATAAAAACAATTTTCACAAATAGTTTTGAATGAAAATTTTGTTATTGCTATCAATACTACCTGTTGAGCTTTTTTCTATTAGTAAGTGTAGCATGAATGCTGAAGTCTAAGGCATGGTGCTGTGAAAAGCTGAATAATTAAGCATATTAGTATAAGGTACCTGTCAAACATCAAGTAAAATACGGTACATGATCCGAGTCACTAAGGCCTGTTTCGTGATATTATACTAGTAGTTTGTAGATGTTCAAAGTTTCACAGAAAACAGTCATTGGAAAGGAATTGATTTTTAGAAATACAAAAAATACTGTGAATGCTAGAACGTTCAAAAGCTGTTTTGAATTTCTAGCTCTCATTCAACAGTGTAACTAATTTTAATTCTGCCAAAACCTCATTAAATTTATATATTGTATAGATACTAATGCTACCCTTTGCCT